TTCTAGATTGCGATCACACCTGCCACCCCCCAGCCAGGCCCAGCCCAACTGGGGCCCCTAACCCTTCCTTCCTGTCCTTCTGTGGCTGCTTGTGCACCTGGTTTCTCCTCTTCTCAGGACTCGATGATCTACTGACTCAGGTCTACCTCCTGTGTCCAGGGGGCCGTGTCCAGGCTGCCCCAGAACTCGGCCCTGTTCCAGGGTGCCCCACTCATTGGGCTGCGGATGGTGGCAGCCATGCTGGGGGCTCCGAGGCAGGGAGCAGGAGTAGTTGCCCTTCCCGTGGCCAGTAGGGCCATCCTTTGGCGGGGTGGGCTCCTGGAAGCCTCTGTGGAGGTTTATGACAGCAGGGTCCCCACATCCTGCACCAAGTCCTCAGCAGCATGCTCTGCCGTCCTGCTGCTCAGGAGGCCCAGGACAGGCCAGACCCCAGGCTTCAGCTGCAATGTCCCCAGGGGTGGCATAGCTCCCCCGGGCCTTTCAAGGTCCCAGAAGACACCTGTGTCTCCCCTCCTGTCTCAGCCACGGGTCATGCTGCGTGGCTGACCAGGTGGGAGCTCCCCGAGCCGAGGCTCCTCCCCACCTCAGGCCTGCGTGCGCAGCAGCCCTACAGTGAGGTCATCTAGGGGCGATTTCATTCAGGGAGTTGGGCCACTGATGACCCAGGCTTCACTGAGGACGTGGGCTACCGGTGCCTCCCAGAGCCCCCCGGGGGGCCAGCATGCCGCCTGGGGCCATGGGCGACTCGCAGGAGAGGCACGTTCGCCTGCTGAGATGCTTAAAGATCGGTCAGGCAGACGTCCAGGGAAGCAGAACACCCCTCTGCCTGTGCTTCACGGGGACGCGGAGAGGCAGACGGTTACGCAGAGACAGGCGCACAGACCCCGGGGACACACAGACGGGCACCAGAGCTGGCAATGAGCCCATAGAGACTCAGAGCCACCCCAGCGAGCGGGGACTTGCGGGAGCCCTGCAGGCCTCAGGCTGTCCTGTGGAGGCCTGGGTGGCCCTGTGCTGGAGCTGGCTCTCCTGGTCCGGGAGCTTCGTGGAGGAGATGGGGCACAGGCTGTCCAGGGGGACAGTGCTCATGGGGAGGGCCTCCCACAGAGCCCACCGGCTACAGCAGCCCTAGGTTGATGGGGGCAGAGGGGCCGAGGGAGCCCCGGGCTGGGCCAAGGCTCTCCCCTCCCAGGGAGTCTCTCAGTTCCCCGTGCTACCCCTGTGCCCGCTGGCCCGTCAGAGGGATAGCAGATACATGCCCACCGCGGCGTGGGGCTCCGGGCACTGTCCAGTGGCGGTGCTGGGGCGGGGAGCCAGGATACCCCAGACCCAGCCTCGAGTCTGTTCTTGGCCTGTGTTGGCAGCTTCTGCATGCTGGGCCCTGGGCTGGGCGTGGGGTCCAGCGAGAACAGGACGTGGGATCTCCCAGATGCCTGCTCACAGGGATCCTCTGCGCTGGCCTGTGTGTGGGCAGAGGGGCAGCTGATAAAGGGAAAGCCACTGCCAGTCATCACCGTCTTGCAAAGTCAACTAGTGCGAGCTGGAGACAGTGACCTTGAGGCGGTCATCGGGACAGAGTCTCTGAGAACATGCTTTGAGCAGCTGAATGTCAAGAACATGATGAGATAAAGGGGAAGCGGAGGGGTTCCGGGCTGGCTGTGCAGGTAAGGGTGAAGGGCTGGGCTAGGGCAGGAGCTGGGGACGGGAGTGGGTGGACCCAGAGCTGGGAGGCAGGGCTGGGGGACAGTGAGGGCCAGAGAGGAAGGAAGAGAGTGCTCAGAGCTGCAAGGACGCCTGAGGGGAGGGCGAGCCATCCACTGTGGGGACGCACAGGGGAGGCCCAAGGCCAGAGTAGGAGGTCTGTTGGGCCCACTGGGGATTCAGGCTTGGCCTGGGCATCAGGCGGGAGCTTTGGATTGGGAGCGGGTGTCCTCGGGGAGGTGAGAGGGCAGGGAGTTGGGCAGAGAGGAAGCTGTGGGCTGAGGGGTGATTCTATGGTGGGCCAGTGGAAGGGGACCAGGAGGACCCCATGGCCCAGGTACCTGGGGACAGGAAGAGGAGGGGACCCAGACAGAAGCCAGGAACTGAGAAGAAAGAGGGGATGGACCCATGGGGTGCTCACAGCAGGCCAGGGACAGAGGGGCCACCTTGGCCTTCACAGACACGGGGAGCCAGGGAAGTGGCTCCTGGACAGAGGGCCAGGGAGGGGGACAGTGGACAGTGCTGGGCCCTCACCCACCCCCAGGCCTGCCCAGGCTCATGCTGTCTGCCTCCAGCATCTCTGCTCAGGGCCCCAGGAGCCAGCAGGGCTTGGGGACAGGGTGACTGGTCTCCATCAACCAAGGGGACATGGGGCCTGCTGACAAGCACCCCCTGCCCCTCCTTGGGGCAATTTGGGCACAAAGTTCTACAAGGTTCCTGGAGGGTCCCCAGCATGCAGAGCCCAGTCACCTATGGCTGGCTCCTGTCCCTGCCCTCTGGGGACTCCTGGCCTCACCTGGCCTCATGCCCCTCCTTACTTACGCGTCCTTGTCTCAAGGACAGAGGAAAGTCCAAAGCCAGCCCCACCCAGGGAGGGTCCACCGCCACCAAGCTCCAAAGAGAAACTGTTCCCCCATGGGGCTGGTGAAAGCTAGAGTCCAGCGGGACCTGGTCAGAGGGCACCCCACCTGCGGCGCGGAGAGGCTCTGGCAAAGGGCTGAGGGCCTGGGAGTCTGAGAGGAGGGAGGGAGGACAGGGGGCGTGTAGGGGACACAGAGCAGGAAGGGGAGGCCAGAGGAGGCGAGGTGGGGGCAGGGCGCCAGCTGGCTCAGGCACACAGCAGAGACTGGCCCTGGTGGCTGTGGCGGGGGACACGCCGGCCCTGAGGTCAGGAGGTGGGTGGCCAGGCCTGAACCTGAGCTGCCGCAGACTCGGCCCCCAGGGGGTCTGACTCTGAAGAGGAGCAGAGAGACCAGGAGGAAGTGGGAGCAGAGCCGGGGGGACGCACGGGCATGATCTTTCCCTGTGGGCACTTCTGGGCTTTCTCTGGGGTCTTCCCAGGCCCCACGGCATGGGGCAAGTCAGTGAGGAGATGGCCGGCGGGAGGGGAGGTGACAGGCCACTGTGAGTCCTCAGAGCTGGACGGGCTATCTCCCAGGCCCGGGGCCGGGGGCTTCCTTTGCTCAGGATCAACCCTCTCGTTGGGCTGGAAGCCCAGGTGGTGGGCAAGCCCTGGGAGGTGACAGCCCCAGGGGCTGAGAGGGGCTTCTCCCCAGGTTTCCCCTGGCCTGAGTTCCTCCACGGGGCTGAGTCCCACACACAGAGTGGCCGTTCTGTCTGCTGTGGAAGCTCCGGCAGCAGAGACCAAGACAGGGACAGCCTGTGTGGATAGGTGCTGCCCACAGCTGGCTCCAGGCTGAAGCCCGGGCCTGTGTGCCAGCTGAGCCCTGAGCCTGCTGGGCTGCCCAGGTCAGGGGCCCGGTGTCGGCTGGCGTGGGGTTTACATGGCTTCATCTGCACAATCCGTGGCACCCTGGCCTCTCCCACTTTGAGCTCTGCTTTCTCCAGGTGAAATGTAATAAAACGATGACCAGGGTTCCCTGTGGCTGGGTGCAGTGTGTGATCTGCTCCCAGAGGCCCCTTTGTCTTGGGTGCAGGAGGAGCAAGGGAAGCAGTGGGCAGGTGCAGAGCCTGATCTCCCCCCAGGGCAGGTGGAGCCACAGGTGCCAGGCACCTGCAGGGTGGCTTCCTGGGAGACCCCCACCCTGCTCCTCCCGACATCCTGGAAATGCCTCAGGCCACCCAAGGTCCTCTAATGACCCCCTTCTGCCCGTAGGAGCTAGATGGATTCGTTGGTCTGGGCCAGCAGTGCCGAGCCGCGTGGGAATTGGTCCCTATAGAGCCGTAGGCCACAGCTCGCCAGGAACAGGGACGGGCAGGGTTGGGGGGAGTAAGGAGCAGTCACAGTGGGGACCTGAGGTGCGAGTCCACTGACCGTGGTGGCTCAGCAGGAACCAAGTCCCCACCCCAGTCCTGGCATCCGTGCCTGCGGGAAGGAAAGTGTTGGTGGCCCAGGGACATGGCTGTCCTCCAAGGCCCCATGCCCTTCCCGACGCAGGCTGGGCTATGCTCCCTGTGCTCTGCCCGGCAGGGGCAGCTCAGCCTCCATGGCGCTTTCCTGCTCAGGATACTCTTCCTTTCCTCCATGACCCCTCTGTGACCAGAGGACACCGTGCGCGGCTCCTGCATGAGTGGCTGAGACAGGCGTAGACTGCTCTGTCATTTAGCCACCATGCAGTCGGGCATGCCCGTGGCCTGGAGCGTCGACCCCACCACCCTAACGGGAAGCCGCGCGTGGCCCAGGGTGGGCTCATTCACAGCTTCTGTCTTTGGAGACTGGAGCCTACAAAGCAGGGGAGGCCTCCTCCTCCACTGCCGACAGAGCCACCCCCAGGGGCAAGTCCTCCGTGGCCGTCTAGCCCTGTGGCCGAGGCGGCTGTCTCCTGCGGGTACCTTGCTGTCCTCCCCAGGAGCTGCTGTGGTCTGGCTTTGCCCCTCACCTGCCCCATGTCTGCCAACACCATCCTACCTCATGGGTGGTGACAGCACAGTGGCACTCCCAGGAGGGACTCCCTTCGTGACAGGCATGAGGAGATGGGCCAGTTCTCAAAGTCCTGGTCACCCAGGAGCAGTGATGGTCTTGTGGAGAGCAGGGCGGGTGCTGGGCACCAGCCTCACATGAGGGTGAGACCCTGTGCCAGGGTGCCATACTTCCAATCTTGAGTGTCCTCAGAGGCCATGTGTTGAAGGTTTGCAGCCACCTGCTCTGTCACCGACCTGGAGGTCGGGGGACCCTTAGGAGGTGGGCCTGGTGGGAAGGGGATGTCGGGCACACAGACCCTGTCCAGCCCTTCTCTCTCTCTCTCTCTCTCTCTCTCTCTCTCTCTCTCTCTCTCTCTCTCCTTTTCTTTTCTTTTTAAAAACAAACTTTCTTATTTTTATTTATTTATTTTGGGCAGTGCTGGGGATGGAGACCAGGGCCTCACTGAGCCACGAGAAAGGGTCTGGCTAAGTTGCTGAGGCTGGCCTCGAACTGGTAAATTCTCCTGCCTCCGCCTCCCGAGCAGCTGGGATGACAGGTGGGTGCCACTGCGTCCAGCTTCTTCCTCTGCTCCTCCGACACCTCTCCACGGCGTGCTGGGTTGTCACAGGCCCAGAGCAATGGGTCCAGGCAACATGGACTAAAACCTCCCAAACCGTGAGCCCAAGGAAACGTGCCTCTTTTGGGGTTGATCACAGCAGGCATTCCGCCACAGTGATGGACGATTGGCCAGCTCACACAGGAGTCAGCAGGTGGTCCTCGCCCCATACTCAGGCCGCTCCCCTATGAAGTAGGGAGAGGGATGGAATGGCTCTGGGTCACCTTCTTGCTGCCACTCTGACTCTGGGCATTGCTGCTTGGAGGTCTTCCACCTGCAGGAGGGATGCTGGCCCAGGGCACAGTGTCCAGTGCAGACTCCTCATGCCCCCAGGGGAGCGGTGCAAAGAGCTCTTGGGGCTGACCAGCTGAGGAATTGATTATCCAGGAGCCAGGAACAGCTCCTGGGGACCCAGGGGAGCTGAGGACCCGCAGCTCTGCACGTCCAGGGCCAAGAGTGACCTGCAGTATGCTCAGTGCCTGGCCCCGTGGGACTGATGCAGGCGTGGATGGGGGCAGGGATACCCGAGGGCTGTGGCCTCTGCCCTCTGCACATGACAACCTCCTCTCCTGTTCACACTTAGGAGGATGTGACGATGGGTCACAGAGGGCAGAAGGCTGTCACTCAGAATCATGGGCTTATAGCAGGCTCAGAGCAGTGGCACTTGGCACAGGTGCTCCCAGAGTTTGGACTCAGCTCTGTGGCACCTCTGCAGGGAGCAGGACCTGTCGGTGGGGACAGTGGCTGTGACAGGCCATGGCTGGTATCTTCTGCTGTGACTCCCACACTTTCAGTGGGTTGGAGGCTCCCATCTAGATGTCCCTCTTCCCCAGGGGAAGCCCCAGAACCTCTTTCCCAGACTCCCCTGCAGGTAACCTGGCTCTGCCCTGAATGTCTCTATTTGTCATCTGACACACAAGGGGACACCAGGTCCCGGGGAGCAGAGTGCATGTGTGGCTGGGGTCCCTTTATGTCCATCATCCTTACTGAGGTCATCTTCCTCACACATTGCCTGCGGGTGATTAGCAGCGGGGAGCCCTCCGTGCACCTGTGTTCCTGTGCACAGGGGAGGAAGCAGGGACTCTCTAACTCGAGGCCAGGCGGGCTTGCAAGGCTGCCAGCCCACTAAGTGCTGCCTTTGATCACGGTGTCGTGGGCCTCTGGGGTCCTCCTGGACAGACCTCATCAAGACCTTACCGGCCTGCTGGACACACTGATTGATCAAAGATTGATCAAATAGCTCTTCCTCTCGCCAAGGCCAGATGGTTGTTCCTGGGATCAAACAGCCCCGTCTGCCAGGCACTGGTCCAGCAGCAGAAGGCGAGACCTCGAGAGCCTCCCTGGACTTCAGGGAGGGCTGGTTTTCTGGAGCTTTCTATCTGGACCAGGGCAGAAGGTGAAGCAAGCCTCACCTCCCCCAGGGTGAAGCTAGTCACGGGTGGCTTAGTTTCAGGGAAGAGAGTGTGCGTACATGAACACGTACATGTGTGTGTGTTCATGCATGTAGCAAACACGTAGGCCCACTGTGCAGGCGTGCATGGTCTATGTGATCACACGTGTTAGTGTGTTTGGGTGCACGTACATGTTGTGAAACCACACGTGAGCATGCACATGCCGGGTGCCTGTGTGAAGTGCTCCACACTGAGTGCGCAGGTCTGCCTGCTGTGATCACATTGTCTGCCTGCGTGTGTGTGCATGCACACTCGGGTGCAGTCCTGTGAGCACCTGTGAACAGAATGTCACAAGTCCCTGGACATCGCTCCCACACACCCAGGACCCATGCTGCTCTCTCTGGCAGCCCAGGAACATGCCACCAAAGGAAGTTTGGGAGAGCAGGACTTCTGCCCAAGGGCCGGAGGTGGCCTGAAATAGTGAGTGATGTCTTGAGCTGACAGTGCTGATGGGAAGACCGGTCAATTCTCTGTGCCAGAGGCCTCTCTGGAAGTATGACTTTCCTTCCCTGTAGAACCCCCCGGGGCACCTTCACTGCCAGCTTCTCCCAACACAGGACCCTGTGGGAGCACCCCGTAACCATGAAGCCCCCTTACTCCCGTGACTGCTGACAAGAGGTGGGAAAATCTGACCCCACACTACTGAGCGCAGCTTCACAGCTGGAAGGTCCTGTGCTGGCCCCCACTCCCCTGACCAAAGGACTCAGCTTCCTGGAGCTGAGGCTGCAGGTCCCCCTGGTCCTGAGGCTGCAGGGCAGCCCTCTTGGAGTCCCATGAGACCCCAAGTCCACCTCCTTATGCTAGGCTGGGACAGGCTCCCTTCTGGACCCATTGTTTACTGAGCTCGGCAGGTGGTGCTGTCCTTGAGAGCCCAATTTTAGCAAGAACTTACTGCGTCCACTTAGGCCTCCACCTCAGTGTCTGACCACCTACCAGAGCTGGTGTCCCTCAGGCGTCTCTGCTCTCAAGCAGTGTGTGGTCACCCTGGCCATCCTGCAAGAGGCCTGGAGGTGGGTTTGGCTTTCTCTTAATGGTTTTCCATGGGCAAACGCTCCTTGGCTGTAAGCCCGATGGATTTTTGCATTGGAAGTTGAGCCCTGTTCTATTTGGGGGTCTCTTTGCCCCACTGCAACTGTCTCTGGTCAGAATCTGCTGTTACCAATTTAACTCCTGCACAGACCTGGTTCTCTCTGATAGTTAAGTGGGTTCCTTGCGAGTAATGCAAGGACCACGGGAGCCCCCAACCTTGGAGTGCCCCTGAAGCCCACTCTCCTGTGCCCGATGTCATCAAGACAGCAGAGATGCCCAGTCCACCCACGGCCACAGTGACCCAGCTGGTTGAGTGGTTACGAGGCCTGCAGTGAGAGAGAGGTCAGTCAGGAAATGCCCCCCCATTCCCCTAGCCTGATGGGCCATGTGCAAACAGGGACTGGCGTCCTGAGGGCAGCACCATGAACATTTCCTGTCCCCCATAGCCTGGACAATGGCCCTCAATGTGCCTTGGGCCTTCTGGGCATTTCTGAGCTGCTGCTCCTTATGCGGGCTGAGCTTCCAGGCTCTGTGCCGTAGCTGTGGATGCCCACTGCAGGCGGACACTGAGGTGGCGGACACAGTCGGGGGTCTGTTTGTGTGTTTCCACAGGGAGAACAGCAGCCGATTTGGATTCCAGAGAGATTAACCAAGGTCCTGACCCAGTGATTGTCTGGAGTCGGGGGTCTGTTTATGTGTTTCCACAGGGAAAACAGCAGCCGATTTGGATTCCAGAAAGATTAACTAAAGCGATTTCTACAGACCAAAAAGAAGATGATTTGGCTCAAATCCATAACAACTGATATCCAAAACTCCAGTTTGGCTATTCTTACATCTGCAACAGAACCAGGATGCTTTTTTCAATATCTATTTTATTATTGCCCTTTGCCATATCATGAAGTTCTATTTTGTTTTTTGAGCTCATACAGACCTAGGTTAATGTTTTGCTGATCAGTTCTATTTTTTGACTATAGAGTTTTTAAACATTGCAATGGAGATTTCACCTGTAAAAAGTTATAAGGCCTTTACTATAATGTTATGTGTTGTATGTATTATATTATGTGTGCACACTTGTGTTTTGTGTTATATGTTTGAATGTACGTATGTCCATATATCATATATGATGAGCGCTCATGATAAAATGGATCCAAATATTTTTTTTCACGTGATTTATATGGTTTAATTTAAATTGGGTAAACAACTGTTGAGGATTGTTTTAATATGTAAACAAAAAAGAAGGTTAACGGATCTGTTTGTTTACTTTCACCTTTCCTTTTCATTATATTTAATAATTCTCTTAAAGACAATGTAAATTGTTAAGAAAATTGTTTTCTTTTAGTGCCTTCTGTAATGTTACGTAATTTTTTCTTTAGCCATTATTGCCAGAATTCCTATCTTCATCCCAGTGCCGGTGAAGACAATGTAAATTGTTAAGAAAATTGTTTTCTTTTAGTGCCTTCTGTAATGTTACATAATTTTTTCTTTAGCCATTATTGCCAGAATTCCTATCTTCATCCCAGTGCTGGTGAAGTCAAAGATAAAACCAATCTACAGCTTCTACAATAGCCATCACTGAACTGCTTGCAGAACTTGCCTGGACACATTGTGAGCTCACCTGTATGCATTGTGAACTATCTGTTGGTGCAGCGACTTATGGTAGTGTTGGGGTATTTTTGCTGATGATGTCACCGGTGGTACAATTTTTCAAAGGAGCCCTCAATTGGCTTAATGTCATGGCATTTTGCATCCTCCTCTACTAGTGATGGTCTAAAATTTGGGGGCCAACAGAGGTGAGGCAAAGAACCTCACCCCCCCACAGGTGCAAAGGCCTATCCACAAGTATGGCTGTATGCTGGACCGGTAGTCAGTGACGGGTATGATCCAATTGCAGTGGTACCAACCTAAGACAGGAGGCTGACGCCTAGAGGTCAGTTCATCCGATGACGGGTAAGGACCATATGTTGAATTGGACTGCCTAACAGGCACGGTCCCTAAGCCACATGCTTGTTGTTTAAACAGAGAGGGGGAGATGTTGAGAGCCACAGCCTGAGGGGCCCCAGCATATGGAGGTGGCGCTGTTGGTTGTGGCTCTCAACATCTCCCCCTCTCTGTTTAAACAACAAGAGGTTTTCAAACCAGAGGGAGCGCAGGGTTGGACATCTGCGCCTCCGCCAGAGCAGTACTAACTCCAGAGATGGGAGTTCAAATCATTCCCACAGGGGTGAAAGGACCTCTTCCCAAAGGAACAGTAGGCTTATTATTGGGACGCAGCTCTTCTACTCTAAAAGGACTTATGATAAGTCCTGGGGTAATTGATCCCGATTATGAAGGTGAAATAAAAATTATAGCCAGTTCTCCAAAGGGTATATCAGTAATTTCACCAGGAGATAGAATAGCACAGTTACTAATAATACCCAGCCTACATGATAAATTTTCCAGTCGTACTGTAGAAAGAGGTTC